ATATAATTTTATATATATTAATTATATCTAATTGTAAAATATGAACATACCTCTAATATCTTGTAATATGCTTTTAATTTTCTCATAGGTTTTAAATCTTCTACACATTCTGTAAAAACTTTGGTTAATCTAATATCAAGATCTAATGTATTTTTTATTATTAATGGAATTTCTCTTTTTTTATTCTGAAAAAATATTTTAGAAAATATTTATTTTATATTTTTATAAATTTTTTAATATTTCTATATAATATAGTAATATTATTCTAATATAAAATTCTATAAAAAAAATAGTAAGTAATCAATAAATAGTAATTATCGAAATGCATAATATCTATGATGAAATTAATTTTAAAAATATTATAAAATATAAACGATTTTTATTAACTAAAAGATTAAAATTATGATTAAAAGTTATTATTAAACAAAAAGTTTATATATGTAAATAAAATATAAAAGTATATTTATTATTAACCTTATATAATACCTTATTCATAGTACGTTGTAAATAAACTTAGTAAAAAGCAATTTTTAAATTATTAGTATTACTAGAAAGTCTATTTAATGAATTGTTATAAATTATTAAAATTTATATAATATTATCTTTTTTATATATATTCATAGACATGATTTGTAAAAATTCACGAGTCAAATTGAAGCAAAAATAACGAAGAAAATATGACGTCACTTAGAGAATTAAATAATTATGAATAATAATGAATAATAAATATTTTATACAAAAAATTGTAAAGAATGACAAAAATAATCTAAGTACAAAATTTATTCTTTTGAACTGAAATGCTTTACATTTATTTTGAACTTTTATTATTTTATTTATATCAAAAACATATAATTATATTAGAAATACAATTTATATATTTTTATCCTTTAATTATACATAAGAAACTATTTTATTTTGCAATTAATAGTTAAAATAAATATTTTTATTTCAGAATCTCTATATTATCTTTTTAAATTAAATTAAATAATTAAACTAAAATAAATAAATAATTATAGAAATAATAAAATAAAATAAAATATTTATTTCAAATTTAATAATGATTAAATTGTATTTCGTATATATTATTTCGAAAACTTCTATTATTCTATATTACTTTAAGTGATATTATAGATGATTTTATCTTTACGTCAAAGCAATTATCTAAAGCTATATCTATAAATATATCATCATCTTTATGTCAATGATATGAATGTGTACATTATCTACTTCATTAAAAATTGGAATGAATTTTATATTTTTATTTTTTTATATATAACTTTAGTTCACAATGATAAAGCAATGTTTTACTATTAAATTGGATTTTAGTAAATACTCATCTCAATATTGATCTTGATAATTGTCTTTTTATATTTTATACTTAAAATGTAAACTTCTATAAATTATGTTAACTTCTATAAATTGAATTGCACATTCGCGTTTGTATAAAAATTTAAAAATTTTAATAAAAATTTAAAAATTTTAATTTCCAATTTAATCTGAATTCCATTTATAATAAAATCTAGCATTCAGAGAGGGCGCTACAAACCTCAAAGAATAATTCGTTTCAAATCGACAATTCTATAACTCTGTTGTTTTTTTTATGTTATTTATATGTTTTTATTTAAAGATTCTTAAATCATATAAAAATTATATAAAATTATAGAATTATAAATTAAAAAAATTTTTGTGAATATAAAAGATTATTAGTGTTGTCATGATTTATATTTTATTACCTAAAAGTTTCAAGTTAATTAAATAAAGATAATTGTGAATAAAAATGCAAAAAAATCATCTAGAGATGTCAAAATTAAAGCGAATTAAAAGGTAAAAATAAAATATTCAATATATTTTCATATAATGCAATTTTATATATTTTTAGAGTACGTAGCATTATACTAAAAGCAATAAAAAGACATAGCAAATAACAACATAATAATAATATTCATAATATTTATGTAGATAAATTGTTTATCATAGATCAACAATATCATAGATCATATAAATATGATTATAACAATATATAATTGATATATATATATATATATATATATGATTCAATATAAATATCATTCTGCGATATTTTGCTGTACAAAGCAAAAATTTTATTTTAATTTGTTACAAAAATAAAATTATTAAAAAATATTAAGCAATTATATGATTTAAATTTAGAGATAGAGATAAAATTTTTTTATAATTAATATTTGCAAAAGATGATATTAAAAATAATTTTAAAAAAGCAAACGAAAAAGAAGAATTGTTTTTGTCAGTTAACTATAATAATTAAGAGATAAGAATATAATGAAGATTATTTAAATTGAAAAATAAAGAAAGATATATAATAAATTATATATAATATATAAAAATATATATAAGTAAATATAATCACTTTTTAAATTATTATATAATTAAACACATAGTAAATAATTGTTTTAATTATAGAAGAAGATATTAAACCGTTAAAAGATTTATATTATATTACATCATTTATTACATTATTTTTCAATTATACATTATTTACAATCTTTAAATATATTTAGTTGTAATAATATCATTTTTCTTGAAGCATCTAAGAAATGAAAAGATTATATAAGATTTTAAGTTTAAAAATTTATTCAATTAAAAGTTTATTCAAAGTTTAAAATTTATTATAAATTTGATTTAAATAAAAAATTAAACATATCAAAATATAAATCATTAAAGAATTTGTAAATATTTTTACAAGAAAAATCATAGAGAAATAAAGTTAAAATTTTTAATATTGAAAATATATAAGTATATATTATATATTATATAACTGTTAATACCAAATTATTATTTTTGTTGAGCCAAGAAAAAATTTTGTAATTTACAAGTTTTGTATCAAAAACCCTTATTTCTTAATGCAATATTACAATACTATTATGAAATCATATATAATACTCAATAATTACATATATAATATAATATTAAATTATGTATATATACATGTAATAATATAGTTTGTTTAAAATATTTAATGTATTTAAGATTTATTTATTTTTTATTATAATTTTTATACAATCAATATATCTTTCTTATATTTATTATTTTTAAAAAGAAATTAGTAAGTATTATAATTATATATTTACAATAAAAATTATGTTAAAATATTTTAATAAATTTTAATATTATTCTTAATATTATTTAAAAAAATTATACATTTTTTGCATCAACTTGATTTTGTTTGTTGAATAAAATTATTTTTTATATGATGAAGCAAGCAACGCCATGTTTTAAAAATTAATAACATTTTAATTACTAATCATTGTCATTGCTATGTTAATTATAATATTGGTTTATCATCATTATATTATCAATATAATATTATATTGATATATCAAGCTTAAGAAAATAATAGAATACTACAGAAAGAAAAACAATTAAATATTTTTTTTAATGTAACAAAGAATATCTTAATTTTTTGAAACATAATACATTCCTTAAACGAGAATAGCGCTGCTGACGGAATTTCTTTGAAATCTGCTCGCATTTGCTGATTGGTTACTTGGAAAATGGAAGTGGAGATCCATATACGCATGACTGCGACCTTTCGCCATATTTAATTTTTACCAAATTTTGTGAATCGATGTAAAGAAAATTAAAAGAATAAAAATCTTGTATCATAAATGATTAATTAAAACAATTTGGAAATAGGTATAAAATGTTCTTGTTTTAGAATCAGAAAATATTGTGATAGAAGAAGTTAGGTGCAAGTTGCGTAACTTACATGCATCCAACTCCCCGCGGATTTTTCCTCGCTCGCGCGCGATTTTATTCTGCGCATGGAAAGCAATTTTGCCCAATCATAAATAGGGCTATTGTGGGGGGATGGTGTATGCTGCTGGCGCATTTCATACATCCGAGTGTAATGGTAACCAGATAGAGGCGTCGCGCGGGGCTATCGGCCGGTTAGCATCGTAAATACTTACTTTCACTGAAAAATTTTTTCTCTTTTTCCTCGTTCTTTTCTCTCATTCCGTTTCATAATATTTATGTCATTTCGTTTTTTCTAATTTTCCATTTATTTTCATTTATCTTCTGTTTTTTCCTCTCTCTTTATTTTTCTTTTTCGTTTTTTCTTTTCGTCCGCGGTATTTTTTTTCTCGCGGCATATACGTATGACGTACTACGTGCACGAAACGGAAGTAATACGGCGTGATGCACGACACGTCGCGCGCGCGTTCTCTCTCTTTTTCTTCTATGTGTTTGTGTGCTGCAGTAAATCGCGTTTGTGCGTGTAAGCATACGACCAAGCGAGTGATCTGTGACGTCAGTGGTCCGATCGGTTATCATTTGTCAAGCAAATGTACCTCTTGAATCTTACCTCGAATTTTCTCGTTTATTGATGCAATTCTTATATTCAGCTACTTTTTTTCACCTACATATATGCTTCCATTCCTAACCGCATCTCTATCTCTTGCTCTCTTTTATTCTCTTTCATTTCGTTGCATTCATACTAACTAGACTTGTGCCGACCACACAATCCGATCCATTTCCCTCTTACCCCCTTCTACTTTCCTGTGCTCCATGAGTATCAGTAACTAATCCCCTCTCTACTTAACCCTCGCGATTTTTCCCTCTCCCTGTAATTTCTTGCGTCCACCCACTTTCCTCCTTTCCATTCCTCCTCTTGCTCTCATCACTGTGCCAGCTTCTATCCTTTACTCATTTTCTCTCACTCTTTTCGGTTGGTAGAGCCAACCAGTGGCGTAGCCAGCAAAATTTTTCTCTTTAGGATTTCTCTCTCTAGAAGATGAATGATTTTCATTCATTAGTATTAGTATAATATACTCGAATAAATAATATT